CCAGATGGCGTTAAATCAGAATTTTTTTGTAGTTTCCATAGTTTCCAACGGCCATTGTCATATTATTGTCAAATTCTCAAAAAATATTGTCGTTGTCATAGCGCCAATCATATTATCAAATAAATGATTTTTGATGATTATCAAAATGTTTTTTAAACTATAATTTGTTATATGTGTTTTAATTAGACAAATCCTTTTTTTTGTGGCCCTAAAAATATAATGTAAGTCTTTTATTTTTGCCATCATTTAAGTACCTATTTATATTTACTCCATTTACAAAACTTTGGACGTATTACGTTGGTCTTGTTTTATTATAATAAACGATGTTTAAATATTTGACTTATAAATAAAAACTTTAAATAATAAATACTATTTCACATGTTTGGCTTTAATTTTATTTAATAATTATATAAATTATACTGTTAAATCTTATTTTAATAATAGATGGCACCACTTCTGTAGGACCATTTTTCAGTATGGCAGAGTCCATTCTTTTTCTAGCTAGGTATATTCTTTGATCAAAACGTTTTTCAAACTATAATTTGTTATAGGTATGTGTTTTAATTTCAAATCAACGTGGCGAAAACCAAAGAAATGAGGTCAAATACTCCCAACAAGCAAGATCTATACCTCTCCAATCGAGCCATCGAAAGAGTTGATGAATTTCAGTACCTGGGAAATATGGTTCACAGCGATGGGGGCACAGAGAAAGATATAGAGGAAAGGATTTTGAAGGCACAAAGAGCTTTTGGCATGCTTACACCTGTGTGGAACTCCTCTATATATAGTAAAAAAACTAAAGTCCAGCTCTTCAATAGCAATGTCAAATCTATTTTGCTTTATGGATGCGAAACATGAAAGGTTACGCGTGGTCTCATGGATCGCCTACAGGTGTTTGTTAACAAGTGTCTTCGAAGAATATTGAGAATTTTCTGGCCCAATCAAATTAACAACGAAGAACTGTGGAGAGGAACATCACAAAATCGAATAGATATCGAAATTAAGAAAAGAAAGTGGGGCTGGATTGGGCACATTTTGCGCAGACCCCACAGAGATATCGCTAGACAGGCACTTGAATGGAATCCACAGGGAAGACGTGCCAGGGGAAGAGCAAGGAATACCTGGAGAAGAACAGTAACGTCTGAAGCCCAAGAGGTCGGGAAAACATGGGGAGAGATCAAACAGACAGCTCAGAATAGGATCAGATGGAAACATCTCTTAGAAGCCCTATGTCCCACGAAGGGATGACGGGAACATATATATGTGTTTTAATTAGACAATTCCTTTTGTTTGTGGCTCTAAAAATATAATGTAAATCTTTTATTATGTTATCATTTAAGTACCTATTTATATTTACTCAATTTACAAAACTTTGGGCGTATTACGTTGGTCTTGTTTTATTATAATAAACGATGTTTAAATATTTGAATTATAAATAAAAACTTTAAATAATAAATAATGTTTACACATGTTCCGCTTTATTTTTATTTAATTGTATAAATTATACTGTTAAATCTTATTTTTTCACATCAAAACGATACTTGTTATTAGTATTGTTGAATTTGTGTAAAAAATAAGATTTAATAATCAAATTTAATTATTTTAGAGTAAAATTCAATAAATACGCTCATTTAAAAAGCCCGCGTTTCGATCCATTTAAAACAAGCCCTACTCAATAGATGGCGCCACTTCTGTGGGACCATTGTTCAGTAAGTCCATTCTTTTTCTAGCTAAGTATATTCTTTGGTTTATCCCAATTTAATGTTATCTTTATATTGCTTATTATTCAACTTATTCTTATATTTTACAACATATGGCAACCGCGCTAAGTGAATCTTTCAAACTCACTGCTATCGTCCATGGAATGCTAGCATTCACTAGTAAAAGTTGGTTTCAAAAATAGCTGTTATTTGCAAATCAGTGAATGTGAGCTTTTACTCGTACTTGTAATCACTGATTTGCAACTTTTACTGTAACATATACAGGGTGTTCCAGACTGAGCGTGCATTAGAAGTTTCTAGAGAACTACAACATCAATCTCGGAGATTTTTTGCACATCATAGTTTCACAACGAGATCTATCGATTAAAAATATTTTCAATATGGCTGCACTTCCGGAAGTACCGGAAGTTGACAGCAAATTTCTTATTTTAAATAACTTAAAAACGATTTATTTTAGGTTTATGAACATGTATAGTTAAAAAGTAACGAATTGAAAAACTTTTTCATTAGTGAAATAAAAAAAGTGGGTTTCCAATTGAAAAAAATGATTTATGATAATTTTTAATCGCACAATTCCATGACAGCTACCGCCATTATTTTATGACATTTGAACAATTTAATTTTTGAAATAGATAGCCACATGTCTTCTCTTTATGTCACAGTGGCTGTGGTAAACACTAATTTAACTTTTAGGCTATACAAATTTTTTGACAGGTAGTTTTTTCGTCCAAAAATTTTAAATATTTTTTTTTCAAACTAAAATTAGTATAGTATTAAATATTTTGAGAAACTGGATCAACCAATGAAACAATTCAAATACCCAAAAAAATAAGATTTATTACTTGTTAGAAATATTCGGTACCTATTCGGCACAGCAGTTATGTACATTAATATACAAGAATTATATTTAAGAAACTCTATCTTAAAACTTGTTTAAAATCAAATTATATCTTTTCAAATATTATTCAAACAATTATAATATAAAAGGACTACTTTTTATAGACGGTCTTGGTTATATTCGAATAATAAATATTTAAATTTGACTTGACTTATTACGAAGATTCATGAACCTTTTTGTTTATATATAGTTGAAGGGAAAAAGATTAAAATCTGTACCCAAGATTGCCCTTACAGGTCAAAGATCGTAATGATATAAAAGGTTAACATAAATAGATGTTGAATCTGGATAATCATTCAATATAACATGATTATTTTAATAATCAAATACAAATAAAATTTAAGCAATGCTGAAGGCAAATACTTAAAGTGTTAAAAAAATATAAAATATAACAGAACGTTAAATTTTATAAATTAAACGATAAAGTAATGCTGAAGGCAAGTACTTAACCGGTTAAATATAAAATGTTAAGAATAGTTAATTTCTTAACACACTAATGATTATTTAAAATCCAATTAATAAAAGTTTAGTTTACTATAAAAAAAATATACTGGCCTTGTATACCAAATTATACTAAAAAAAGGATCTTCTTAATAATACAAAACAATCACAGCATCCAACTTCTTCTCAGAGGGGTGCGGGGTGAAATCTAACCGAACAGGCTGCTACTGATTACTTCGGTGACTGAACACGTAAGAAAAACTTGTGGAAAAACTTGGCACAAATTTCTAGAAAAATATGCAGAACAACTTGCAGAAAAACGTCTAGAAAAATGTCTAGAAATACTTGAAGAAAAATCCAAAGAAAAACGTTGAGAAAAATACGTAGAAAAATCTGTAGAAAAATACGTAGAAAAATCTGTAGAAAAATACGTAGAAAAACCTAAAAAGAAATGCACGGTATTAGTTAACCTTACATTTTAAAAAACTCGAAAAATTTACGAAGGTATTAATTTACCTCATTGTGAAGGCACACAATCAATAATTATTTAACATTTCTTCTCAAATGAGGGCTGGACACTTCTCATCAAAAAACTGGAATCTAAAAGAAAGGCATGTGAAGGTTTTTTCTACCGAATGGAATGTCAAAGAAAATCTTACCAAAACTATAGATCCATTAATATCTCAACAATCAAAAACTATATGGGATCTCCATCCATCTATGGGACAACAAAATCACAATATTTTTCCCATATTGTGAAAAATACCAGCCAAATAAATTTATTCTCAAAAATGGCACGGTGACCTCGACAACGGCCAAATCCGAGGTGACGATTTTGACGTTTCCCGTTTTGTCGATACACCAGGGTACGATCCAATATTTTCGATAGAGAGCGTTCCGAAATTTAAGCGTTGTAGAAATGTAAAAAGAATATCGATACAATAATAAAATACCGTCTATAATAAAACAAAGTAGCATTTGGAAAATGAAAATGCTACAACACACTAATTTAAAAACCGCCATTTTTGTGCCTCTCTCATAAAGGAGAATCCCCATGAAACACAGTAAACACACGAAAATACGACACACTGTACAAGTTTAAGTTAGCATCCTTTACGATTGTTCTTCATTTACAGATCAGATAATACTGCCCTTTCTAGAAATGTTTAAGTTTTCTAAATTTTAGTGGTAGAAATTCGAAAAGAAATAGTTTTTTAATTGAATCATTTTCAGTTGCTTAATTGTTTTGCAGTCTATTCAGCACAGTCATTTTCAAGTTATCTCTCTAGATAAAAGACGGAAAGCAATATAGAATTTATGAACGTAACATAAAGCATTTACTGAACACGTGAGAATAATACCTTTATTATAGCCTTTTAACACGGCTTTTAATAGATAGTTCATAATATAACCGAGCTTAATGTTTACACGTTTTACTACTTTATTAAGAGCGCAATTTAACCATTGTTATAAATCTTACTGTTCCATTTAAAAAAATATGTTTAATATTCACATATGATTTATTGTTTATCAGACTATATAAAGCTCATTATATTACACTACTTTTATTATTGGAATAATACAAAAGGGTCCAAGTAGCATTTTGGACACATTTTAGGTAATCGTGTCATTCTAATAATCGTGTCTCTGTTTTTTGACACAAAATGGAAACGGTATGCCACAAATAGGAAACATTTTCGAAACCTATATATTTTATATGGCTTTATTACATGTGTTTCCAATGTGGTTGCACTAGCCGTTTCCCGAAATGTTTCGATGCGGAATCAAAATTTTTGAGGAAATGTTTCGAAAAATTTTCTGCAAGTGTGTCCAAGATGTTACCGTTTTCAGCAGCCCCTGTTTCTAAATGCAAAGAAACAAAATACCAGTCTGTCTCAGATTTGCGTGCTATTATTAATATATGCTTCTCTTTGTTACAGATCTGCATGCTGACCGACGTCTTTTTCGAAACCAACATACTCACGTCCTGGATATCAATCTATCTAGCGCTTCCCATCCTATCCAGTAGCGCGTTCAACCCCTGGATCTACGGTTATCGCAACGCGGAACTGCGAGCCGCAGTCCGCCGCGTCGTGGACGACATCCTCAACACGCTCGGCTTCACATATCGCAGCCACCAAATATCCGACCGAGACCAAATCCCACCCAGCGTCGCCGCCACTGCCGGAGAGCCCGCCACCTTCATCAACCACGTCCAACGGGACGGCATGTGCTGGAAATCGGAAGGAGACTTTCTCTTAGTTCCTATGGCCAGGCCGGAGAGTTCGGGTGTCCTGTCCAGCGCAGAAAGCCAAAAGATGTTTTGTAACAGTAACCCGAAGATTATATTACCGTGCGAGACACCTAGGTTGTTGCTGAAAAGCAGCAGGAGTATGGTTGAGAGTTTAGCGATGATCAGAGGATCGGACGTTCTGATAGTTAAAGGTTCTAGTCCCGTAATGAAGCACGGGTCTAGCGTTTTATAGGAATATTGGTACGGTTATACTGAAAATGAATGGGATCAAATCAAAGTTAGAGAGTTTAAAAAGAGAGTTTATGAATTGTACGATTTGAATAATCGCATATATGATGTATAACATATTTTTGTTAATTGCCAGATGTGTTATTTTGAAAGTTACAGAGTAAAGTTTTTATCAGTATTAGGGTTCTTCCCGTAACAAATATATGTTTTTATAAATAAAACTGAAAGAGAAGCTTGTGTTTTTTTATTTGCATATCATGTCCTGATGACCTAATGAACAAGGAAAAATGGTATTAAATTTATTAAATCCTGTATTACACATTTTGTTACAACATTCTAGGAAACAAGCACTCATTCAGAATCCATTCATAACATATTAGTATATCTCAGTACTCTGTTAATGCAATTTGGAATATTTTGAAACTAATTTACGTTGAAATGGCTTAAAAACATTTATTTATTTTCATCATCCTCACGTCCTGGATATCCATCTACCTAGCGCTTCCCATCCTATCCAGTAGCGCGTTCAACCCCTGGATCTACGGTTATCGCAACGCCGAGTTGCGAGCCGCAGTCCGCTGCGTCGTGGACGACATTCTCAACACGCTCGGCTTCACATATCGCAGCAACCAAATATCCGACCGAGACCAAATTCCACCCAGCGTCGCCACCATTGCCGGAGAGCCCGCCACCTTCATCAACCACGTCCAACTGGAAGGCATATGCTGGAAATCGGAAGGAGACTTTCTCTTAGTTCCTATGGCCAGACCGGAGAGTTCGAGCGTACTGTCCAGCGCAGAAAGCCAAAAGATGTTTTGTAACAGTAACCCGAAGATTATATTACCGTGCGAGGCACCTAGGTTGTTGCTGAAAAGCAGCAGGAGTATGGTTGAGAGTTTGGCAATGATCAGAGGATCGGACGTTCTGATAGTTAAAGGTTCGAGTCCCGTCATGAAACACGGGTCTAGCGTTTTATAGGAATATTGGTACGGTTGTACTGTAAATGAATGGGATCAACTCAAAGTTACAGAGTTTAAAAAGAGAGTTTATGAATTGTACCATTTGAATAATCGCATATATGATGTATAACATATTTTTGTTAATTGCCAGATGTGTTATTTTGAAAGTTACAGAGTAAAGTTTTTATCAGTATTAGGGTTCTTCCAGTAACAAATATATGTTTTTATAAATAAAACTGAAAGGGAAGTTTGTGTTTTTATTTGTATATCATGTCCTGTTGTCGCAATGAACAAGGAAAAATGGTATTAAATTAATTAAATCCTGTATTACATTTTTTGGTACAACATTCTAAGAAACAAGCACTCATTCAGAATCCATTCATAACATATTAGTATACCTCAGTACTCTGTTAATGCAATTTGGAATATTTTGAAACTAAATTACTTTGAAATAGCTTAAATACACTTATTTATTTTCATCATCCTTAGAACCTGGATATCAATTTACTTAGCGTTTCCCATCCTGTCCAGTAGCGCGTTCAATCCCTGGATCTACGGTTATCGCAACGCGGAGTTGCTCGCCGCAGTCCGCCGCGTCGTGGACAACATTCTCAACACGCTCGGCTTTACATATCGCAGCCACCAAATATCCGACCGAGACCAAATCCCACCCAGCGTCGCCGCCACTGCCGGAGAGCCCGCCACCTTCACCAACCACGTCCAACGGGACGGCATGTGCTGGAAATCGGAAGGAGACTTTCTTTTAGTTCCTATATGGCCAGGCCGGAGAGTTCTGGCGTACTGTGCAGCGCAGAAAGCCAAAAGATGTTTTGTAACAGTAACCCGAAGATTATTTTACCGTGCGAGACACCTAGGTTGTTACTGAAAAGCAGCAGGAGTATGGTTGAGATGGACACATGCCATCCAGTTCAAAAGGACCCAGTCCAAGACATTTTTCTCGTTATAATTCGGTTTTAATATATTCTTTTGATGATAATATTGTTATTTAATAATGAATTTACACCCCCTAACACAAGAATCATACTTCTTCAGCTAATGGTAAACTATTGATGGAACATGCCATCCTGGATATCCATCAACCTAGCGCTTCCCATCCTATCCAGTAGTGCATTCAACTGTCGCGTCGTGGACGACATCCTCAACACGGTCGGCTCCACATATCGCAGCCACCAAATATCCGACCGAGACCAAATCCCATTCAGTGTCGCCGCCACTGCAGGAGAGCCTGCCACCTTCATCAACCACGTCCAACGGGACGGCTTGTGCTGGAAATCGGAAGGAGACTTTCTCTTAGTTCCTATATGGCCAGGCCGGAGAGTTCGGGCGTACTGTGCAGCGCAGAAAGCCAAAAGATGTTTTGTTACAGTAACCCGAAGATTATTTTACCGTGCGAGACACCTAGGTTGTTGCTCAAAAGCAGCAGGAGTATGGTTGAGAGTTTGGCAATGATCAGAGGATCGGACGTTCTGATAGTTAAAGGTTCGAGTCCCGTCATGAAACACGGGTCTAGCGTTTTATAGAAATATTGGTACGGTTGTACTGTAAATGAATGGGATCAAATCAAAGTTAGAGAGTTTAAAAAGAGAGTTTATGAATTGTACGATTTGAATAATCGCATATATGATGTATAACATATTTTTGTTAATTGCCAGATGTGTTATATTGAAAGTTACAGAGTAAAGTTTTTATCAGTATTAGGGTTCTTCCCGTAACAAATATATGTTTTTATAAATAAAACTGAAAGAGAAGTTTGTGTTTTTATTTTGTATAATCCTGTCCTGTTGATATTTGGTTTGAAGATTAGTTTGAAAAAAAAACAAAAATAGTGTTAGATTATATAGGTTCCGGCAATAATGGCAAACTTGGGAATTTCATTGATGTGTAAACCTAAAGTATGTATGAGGATGTACTTCAGGAAAATATTTTAACTTCTACAGGGTGGCCCAAAAAAGTGTGAGTGGATCGGGATGATTTTTTTTAACGGAATACCCTGTATATTGTTGCATTTTTAGATTTCTTTCAGATCCCTTTATATAATACTAAAATATGAGTAAATATTTTTTTATAATTTCAGAGATATTAATATACAAATGTATAAATAAAAAATATCTATCTTTCATCCTCCTGATATCAAAACTATATTATTTATTATTATAATTATATATAATATAATATATATTAATATATTAATTATAATTTACTTTAGATGGTCTATACATACTTTGCTATAAATATCGTAATCTTCAATTATACAGGATGTTCAAAATTCTACGCCAAACTTTCTAAAATATAAAATAATTCTCCTTTGTTTTTTTTTAAATGGCACGTCCTGAATATTATATTTTTATTGGATGGAGAATTAAAAAATATTTTTTTTGTATTTAAAGTATTTCAAAATTTTTACTGGTTTTGCAGATACACGCAGTATTATTTCACAGGTCTCTCTGAATGGTAAAATACGAGTGAAAAATGAATGGGTGGCTTGGATAAAAATTTACTCTGGAAAATGCCATTTGAAATATAACACCGCAAATATCTGCGAAACCATTAAACATTTTGAAATAATACAAAAAATGTTTATTTCTTAATTCTCAATCTACTGAGAAAATAATATACAGGGTGTTCCATTTATAAAACTAAGAAAAAATCTTTTATATTTTAGAAAGTTAGGCGTAGAATTTTGAACATCCTTTATGATTTAGGATTACCATATTTAGGTATAGCAAAGTAATTACAGACCATCTAAACTAAATATCTAATATAATTTTGTTTAGTTATTTTAGCACACTTTTTGTATTTTTAATATTTTTTTTAAAGAAGGCTAAAAAAATATATATTTTTTTATTTATTTATTAATATCTTTGAAACTATCGAAATATGTTTACTCATATTTTAGGATTTTTCTTCTTCTTCTTCTTCTTTCTCAGCCTGGTTCCATCCAGTGTTGGATATAGACCTCTTCTAGTTTTTTCCATGCTTCGCGATCTCTAGCCAATCTTATCCATTGTCTTCCCGCCACTGCCCTGACGTCATCGACCCATCTTTCCCATCTTTTTTTTTTAGGATTATGTAAAGTTAAGGCTTATGTAAAGTGATCTAAACAGAAGCCAAAATTGCAATAATATACAGGATGTTCCATTTAAAAAAAAACATACCAATCCACTCACACTTTTTTGACCCACATACTTTAGGTTTGACTTAAACAAAATTCCCAAGTCTTTTATTCTAGGAGCTACAGATGCCCGACACACTATTGCCGGACCCTGTATACTTTTTTGCTACATAATTCTAGAAAACAAACACTGTAACTAATGTATGGAAGTTTGAAATTATTTTAGTATTAAAATATAGATGGTATAAGTACGTTTAATGTTTTATCATAATATTAGCAACCAACTTGTTGCAGATTTTTACTTTTATTTAGAGTAATACGAGTAACATAAATTTTTGCCCATCTAAAATTTTAGACATTAAAAGAAGCACCACAAATACCGTATGATCGAGAAAAAACGGCGTCAAAAGCGGCTTAGGAATGACTATCGATGCTATTTTTGACGAGATAGAACTCTAGACGTCAGTTACTGAGAATTGACATAAAATTTGTCAAAAATTAATACCTTATATAGAAAAACCAGAAAAGAATAGAAAGTTTCCAGATACACATATCTATTTCCAAAAAATTGTTTTTTGAAATGTTTCGATCTGCACCAGTTCTACTCAATAAAAAATCGATATTAAATCATCCTTAATGCAGTAAACGCCTTTTTCAAAATAAAGAAGAGTAAGGCCAGTAAGACTCTAACCTAACTAAATTTCGTCGTCCGACAAGCCTCCGACCCCTCCGACCGAAACATTTCGACAAAATTTTTGATTATTGTGCTGTTAAAATGTACGGATTAGCCTTTTATTATTGTTTCATACACACTAGACCGTTGAGATTTACTAATATTGCATTGATTGTAGCTGTAAATAAAAATGTGTGTTTAATACCAGTAAATAATCCGTTAGTTGATGAAAAAAGTATCGTGTTTATCGACAAAATTAATTGTAGGCTTTTAAATTTTGCTTAATATGGTCATATTTTATGAGTTGAATAACTCATAATTGTTGATACTTCTGGTGGATGATGTTCAATTTATACATATATAAATTATAAACAAACCAAATTGAA